GCCTTGCGAGGTATCGACTGCACTCTATCTTTTCGCACTCAGCTTTCTCCGATGACATGACCATGTCAAGAAGACCCTGGATGAGCAAGCTTGTAATAACAGACAAACAAGTGGGCAGACAAGTGGGCGTGTGTCACAAACGACCTTGCTTATGCACCAGACTGCAATAAGATCGGTTCGAATCTTACGCGGGTGAGGATTTAATAAAGGCCGCAGTAAGTTTAGCGGGTAACGTGACCATGGTGTGATACAACTCGCGGCTTCCAATCGGTACCTCGTAGTCCAGAAGGCGTTTGGAGAATTGGTTATACTAAGGCCTTGTCCATACTTTCTTGGGGTGGAATGCCGCCGATTTCTTCTTTATGATGCATTACCTGCCTGAGCATGGATCCCTAGTGCAGCAACAGCAAATATGTGGAAAGGAGGAACTAATCGAGTCCAATGAATGAGCAAATAAGTTTAAACGCAAGGGTGCATAAGTGTTCACGATTCGGTAAAACTTATCCAACAAACTTACGAACTTAGTTTACGAGGAAAGAGTTTGGTGGGCGACACAAAACGTGTAGGCGGTAAATGACAGATACAGTCTAGTAAACCATCAGTGCTGAACAAGCCCGATCACAATGTCTGAAACGGCGCCGTTACGATGTGTAGGCAATGACCACAGTCTAGGCGGCGGTTTATAGCCAGACCGCGTGTCAAGGCATGGGAACGTAACGTCGACCGAATCTACCCGATGACGACGACGACAGTCTAACTCCTTCACTTACGGGACATTGGTCCACTGTGTTAAACTCCTGCTGCTAAATCTTAACAGTCGGGAAAATGCGCGATATACATGGAAAGTAACTTCCAGGACGCGCCTTGCGTCAGGAACCGGCCTAACTAACTTGCTCGCACGCTGTCCTGGTGACTCACTGTCACGTGACGCTATTGATCCGCCCACGTGCAGCGCGAGTGATGACGCACAGATATCCGAATGGTGAGGTGGAATCCTAACCTTGGCGGCTGAGTCAGAAAGCCAGTCGAGCAGCTAAACCCTTAGAACACTATCTGGTTGGTCCGATCTTGTACGTACTTTGCTTACCTCCAGAAAGTTCACTGTTAACATACGGCAATACACTTCTATTCGCACGTCCTTGCCGCTGTGTTCTCCCTTGGAGCTGGCGTTGTTGGACAGCGAACATATAGACACGTGGCAAGATTGCAACACCTTGCAGAACCGGTTCACAGGAAATAAAATTATCTTAGCTCGCGGGAGGGGGGCAGAGATTAACTGCGGCTGATGTTGGGCAGGTAACAATTTCAGTAAGAGATGCCCAAAGTAATTCTACCAGAGTATGAGAGTTTAAAAAAATTTTAAAAAATGATATGCTCGAAAAAGCTGTTAGGAGTGTGTGTGAGTTCGACCATCGTAATCGGTGATGTCTACCATATGCCCGAGAGCAGGGACGGTGTGCGGCCAATTATAGTGAAAGTAGACACGCCGCTATCTACCCCACTCTAAACCCTCATCCGCTTCAACCGGTGACAAGACAAAGTCAAGATGACCGAGCAAGAATCAGGCGTAAGCCGCCTTGTCCAGATGCAGCCAGAAACACCGCCTGACTTAATATTTAGTGACAGTAGACTTTGCGCGGGTACTTCTGCACTGTCTACCCTCACTCACCTATAGTAGGTGTCCAACCTTCAGGCAATCCTGCTGTACGCGTACAAACCGGAGGAAAAGACTATCTGAGCGGCAGGCAGAATTAAGTCATGAATATTTCACGAAGGTGCAATTAGCAAAGGCATTATCTAAACGAAGTTTAAAAGGAATGATTCACTTAAAGGTATCACCTCGCCCCCCCGCACCTATAGAGAATGTTCCAAAACTAATGAGGATAAATTACAAACTGTAACCTCACTGGACCAATCAGCAGCTGGGTCAAATACTCACTTAAATTTGATTTCAACTTATGTATAGTTGAAACTGGTTCAGAACATTTTGCTAACGACATTAACGGCTCCGGTGATAGGTTCGACCGTATCTGCAACTGCTAGCTGACTATGTCTCTGATGACGAATCCGCGACGGATCTCTAAACGTCAGGCGAATAAAAGTATCGTCCCAGCGATCGAGTCGTCTTCTTCTCGAAAAGCAAACCGTTCGGCGAAAATCTTGTTCCAGCAATGAAATCCCCTTCTTCTTACCCAGAATGCTTTGGAGGAGTTACAGAAAGTATTGTCTTCTATCCCCCGCCAGCAACCGACGCTAATGCAAAATGCACAAAAAGTGTGACAGTACAATGCATCCATACGAAGGCAGATGAAAAAGTGATCATAAACCAGGTCATACCAAGGCCTGAGAAGCCACATTGACGAGGGCGGTGATTAGTGCTCTTTCGAGTTGATCGATAATAGGGAGGCGATCATGTGGTTTCACATCAACTTGGAGAACTTCGAAGTCATCGCCATTGGAGGACTTCAGAAGTGGACCTTCGGACGCTGACTGGAATCGGTTTGGCATGCTTTCCGCCCCTGGAAGAACAAAAAAGCATTAGAACGGAACAGATATGAAACCGAGTTTGGAAGGATGGACTTGTAGAAAAGGTTATGCGAGTATGCAAGACCAAGACTAAACTTTTTTGCCGGAA